GTGTCTGCACAGCAAAGGAAACAGCAATTAGAGTGAAGAGACAACCCTTAGAATAGGTGAAAATATTTGCAAACTGCTTCAAGTAAGGGAGTGATAACCAGAATATATAGAAAACGCTAACAGCTTACCAACAACAACAACAACAACAACAAAAATTATCCGATTGAAAAAATGGGCAAATGAACTGAACAGACAACACTCCAAGGAAAACATATAAATGGCTAAAATGCATATGAAAAAATGTCCCCCATTTCTTATGAGGGAAATACAGAACAAAAGGAGAATCTTAAGCAGAGAAGTGTCATAAGCTGACATATTTAACAAGATCATTTTTTTTTCTTTAGACTTTTGCCATAGGGCACATGTGCTTGCCAGAAAGAAACAGTGAGAAAAGGAAAGTGAGAAATCACCCTCCAAGGGTGATGGTCATGCTGCAATCCCTTCTCTTCCATTTCTTGGGATTTGGGGCACATGCACACACATACCCACCACGATTCTTAAGCCACTAGGTCCAGGATTCAAACCTGAGTCAGCCATGTGGGATCCAGCATCATAACCACCACACAACCTGCTGGCCCCGACAATATCATTCTTACTGCTGTGTTGAGAACAGACTGCCTAGGAGCAAGAGCAGCAGTAGAGACTGCCATAACAATTCAGGTGAAAGATAATGGTGTTTTGGACCAGAGTGACAGTAATGGAAGTGGTAAATGATGGAGTTCCAGAAATGCTTTGAAGGTAAAATGGTAGGATGTGGTGATAGACTGAGTGTAGGGTGTAAAAGAAATAAAGACATAGAAGATAACTTCATGGATTTTGGCTTGGGAAACTGAAATGCTAAAGTTAGCATTAACTAAGATGAGGAAGAGAGAAACAAGAGGGTCAGACATGTGGGTTATGAGACAAGTTTGTCTGAGATACCTGTCAATCATGTCAAGTACCCAGCTGGATGATGAGTTTGAAAGGTACAGGCAAGGGACAGAAATCTGAGAATCATAACTCATTGATAAATTTTTAACACCATATGGTTGGATAAGATCACCTTAGGAGTGTATGCAGGTAGGAGCGAACTGAGCCAGGGGTATAATAAAATATTTAGAGGGTGGGATAATGAATTAGCTGAATATATTGAGATGGAAAGACCATCAATGAGGAGAAAAGCTGGTACTTGTGGTATCCCAAAAGCCAAGTGAAGAAACTTTTAAGGAAAGAGAGTTGCCCAAGTGTGTCAAAATGCTATAAATGGAACTTAGTATGACATTTGAGAAATGGCCACTGAGGTTAGCCATGTGGACTGTTATACATGGAACTGTGTTCTCCCTAAAAAGATATGTTGAGGTTCTAACCCTCAGTACCCCAGAATGTGACCTTATGTGGAGTCAGAGTTTTTAGAGATATGATTAATTTGTAATGAGGCTAGTCTCTAATACAGTATATCCTTATAAAAGGTGTCTTTATAGAAAGGAAGAAGGTTGAGGAGAGACAAAGAGAGAACAGCAGGGAAAGATTGGAGTTGTGTTGGTCTAAACTAAAGAGCAACCAGAAGGTAGGAGAGAAGCCTGCTAGGAGAGATCCTTTCCCAGAACCTTCAGGGGGATATGGCCCTACGGACTCTTTGATTTTGGACTTCTAGCTTCCAGAATGGACCTGTGAAACAATAAATGTCAGCTGTTTAAACCACTCAATTTGTGGTACTTCGTCACTTAAAGCTTAGCAAACTAATACATGAAGGTTACTAATCATGCTGAGAAATAACAATGGAATTAAAAGGACCTAATTGGGGACCATTGGATGGCTTAGTTGCTAGTTGCTGGACTCCCATGTGGTTGACTGTGGCTCAAGTCCTGGACTGGCAGGTTAAAACTCACGTTGGGCATGTGTGTGTGTGTGTGTGCCCCAAATCCAGAGAGGAGAAGGGATTGCAATGTGGTCGTCCCCCTTGGGGAGCGATTTCTCGCTTTCTGTCTCTGTCTCTTCAGTAAGCGTACATGCCCTACAGCAAAAACAAACAAACAAACAAAAAACCAAAACTAATTGGGATGGGATCCAGAGAAATTAAGAGAGGAGAAATTAAATAGCATGTGTGTAATTGCCTTTTAAGGAATTTTTCTATAAAGAGAAGATAAATAGAAAAGTCAGACAAGCAATGTCCTGAAAGAGAGGTTTTCTTTTATTTATTAATTTATGTTTTTAAAATAAAAATATTTATTCCAATTTTATTTATTATTATTATTTTAAGACTTGTTATAGGGCATACATGCTCACCAGAGAGAGAGAGAGAAAGCAAGCCTCCAGATCTGCAACTTGGACTGTGGCTGGCAACGTGGGAGTCCAGTGCCTTAAACACCATGCCACCTGCTGGCCACTTTTGTTTTAGTTTAATGGGAGAAAGAATACTATATCTGATACTAATAGGAATGATTAATTAGAGAAAAGGAAAGCTTGATCTTACAGGAGAGCAGGGCAGACTGTCTGAAACAAAATCCTTGATCAAGCAAAATGGGATGAGATCGGGTGTGCCAGTGGAGAGAAGGTCTCTGGCTACCTACAAGGATGTGTCTTCATGAGTAACAGGCACACCAGCACTAGTGCAGGGAGATGCTGGGTCTTCATATCCTCCAATCTCTCAATGAAGTAGGGAACAAAGTCATCAAGTGAGAGTGAGGATAAGGGAGGAGGTGTTGGGAGTTGGCAGAGAGAGGAGGACATGAAATGGCAATCTGAGAGTGTGTGAGAGAGAAGAAATGTCATAGCGAATGATTTTTTTTTTCATATGCTATTGAACGTGACTTGATACTCTAATTTAGAATTTTTTCATCTAAATTTATAACAAAAGTTGATCTATAATTTTCTTTTTGGGGTTTATGTGTCTGTTATCAAAAAAAAAAAAGAAAATAACAATAATAACTATCATTACTGAATCACCCTCTTGTACCCCACACCAGGTAATACAGTTCTCTTACTCACCTCATTTAGTCCCAATAATAACAAGGAAATGATATGTTGCCTCTCTTCTGTAGAAGAGGAAATTGAAGCCAGGGTAAAAGTACAGGGAACAGACATGGCCAAAGCTGTGAAGCTAGTAAGCAGAGTTGGGATTTAAACCAATGTCTGTTAACTCCTTTCAATGACCTTAAACAGCATCTTACATGAATGTCATTAACCAGATTTTATCTTACTCTAAGTGCCAGAAAAGGTTATATAAAAATGGGAATTATCTGTTCTGTAAAAAAAAAAAAATAAAAAATTCAAAATCTGTTTTTTGAAATCCTCATCAGGAAAAATCTCATCAGGTATAAAAATGCAATATTTAAAGTGAGGAAATAAAGAAGTACTGCTTTCTTAAATGGAACAAACATCTTTCCATTTATATGTGGCTATTTCTCCATAAAATGATGAAGAATTTAACTTAATAAATATTTTTAAAAATACTATTTAATTTAATTTTATTTACTCATTCATTTATTTTAACTTGACCAGAGAGAGACACAGAGAGTGAGAGAGAGAGCGAAAAAAGAGAGAGAGAAAGTGAGAAAGCAAGCCACCAGGTCCAGGACTCAAACTGTGGATGGCCATGTGGGAGTGTCTAGCATTTTTAACCACCATGCCCCCTGCTGGTCCTTAACTTAATAAATATTTTTAGGAAAGTATGTGGCCTATCACTTGGTCAACCTCACTCATCACCATGTTCTGTGTGTTATGGTTTCTGCTTCCAAAATAATCACAAAACTGTGCTTTTCACTTCCTTTACCCTAGGGTAGGCTGCTACAATGTAGGCTGGATGACTGCAATACTTTCCTTGTGGTTCCTCCTAACTTTCGTGTGCCACTTGTACTCATCCTGTATATAGCAGACAGAGGCATCTACTTTTAAACTATTTTGTGTATTTACTGTTTTACAATAGAATACTGCTCAGTATAGGCTATAACTGTTAAATATTCAACTGCATTTAAAATAGTGCATGGTACTTAATTACAAATGGAAAGCATAGTTTTTGAAAAATAAACACTCAAACACAACAAGAGATCTTGCAGAAAGATATTAACCTAAGTGGTTTTTAATTTACTTCACCCGATCTTTCTTTCATACGATTCCTATGGAATGTGGTTATTTTCCCAAAATAGTCCTACCAACACAAAAATGAAAACATAATATATGCATCTTTGTTTACTATTTTGTTGCTAACACAAATACCTGAGACTGAGTGATTTATAAAGAGGTTTATTTGATTTACACTTCTGATGGCTGAACATCCAAAGGCCTGGGAGTGGCATCAGGTCAACTCCACCACATCATGGCTGATGGAAGCAGAGAGCATGGTGGGCATGAAGAGAGAGAGAAACCTGGGGGACGCTCTTTTACAGCTTGTTCTCACAGAAACTAACCCCTTTTCACAAGAGTTAGAACTCGTGAGACAACGTTAATCCAGTTATGAGGGTATTGCCTCCATGATCCAATCACTGTCTGCTAGATTTTACCACTTAAAGGTCTCAGTGCTTCCTGAAGCCATTACACAGGGGACCAAATTCCAAAACATGAGCCTTTGGGCAGAAAGTCATTATCAAAATCATACCAGGGTGGAATTATTATCCCAATGGTTCCATAATGAATCAGAATAAGCTCCACTATCTAGAACTTTCTTTGTCAGAGAGAAATGAAATATGTACATCATGAGTGACTTAACACATTTGCTCTGTCTTACTGATTTTTTTCTCTGTAGGACTTAGTGCTGAGTGGCCTATATTAAATGCTCAATAAATATCTGTCGAACACTATTGAATGCATCCAGTATTTGATATTTTGCAGGAATATCAAAATTGTTTAAGCAATAAACTAAATGTTTGAATACAATGCTTCCATATTTGAATTATGTAAATTGTGATTTTTGAGCTCTCTGAGAAATTGGTTTTCTTATTCATTCTTGACAGCTGATTTGCAATATTTTTCATTGATCACATACTTTACCTTTCATCTAAAATGTCGATTTTCTCAAAGTTTACCTTGAAGCATGACCAAAGACTGTCGAAGTCGGCTGTTTTCTTTGCGGGTGTTTGTTAGTTTTTCTTTCAAGCTTTTTATCTTGGTGCACAATTCTTCCTTCGACAATTCTGCTAAAGGCTCTTCATCCTCACTGGAGCTCTCACCCGGCAGAAAGGCATTTCCAGAATACGGGTCTCTCTAAAAGATAAAACAAGCACAATAAAAGAAGATTCATAGCGTCTTCAATGGTTTGTCCCGTGTTTTGTATGCTAAAGGGTCTTAATCAGATCTACAAATGTCCATTCTCAAAGGCACTTCCTGCTACTGATCTAGCCTCAGCTTTGTCTTCCACCATCCAGAAGAACTCAAAAAAGGAGAAAATGTGTATTATTAAAGCTGTGCAGAGAATCTGCAGGTAGCTTGAGTATTAAGGCAGCTGGATCCCACATGGCCAATCGCATAGTTCCAGTTCTAGACCTGCCAGTTAGAAAGTCATGCCGTGTGTGTGTGTGTGTGTATGTGTGTGTGTGTGTGTGTATGCCCAAAATTTCAAGAGGAGAATGGAAGAGAAGCAACTGGTGTGTCCATCCCTCCAGGGTATGTTTTCTCTCTCTCTCTTTCTCTCTCTTTGTCTCTCTCTGGTGAGCTCAGAGAACACCTTCTAGCAAGTTTAAAAGAAACCCTATATAACAAAAGATGTGCAAGATCTTTATGAAGAAAGTCAAAAAACTTGAGTGAAAGATATCAAACTTGATCTAAGTTAATGTAGAGAGACATCATATTCAGAGACAAGAAGCCTGATATTCAAATAAAAAAAAAAAAGCCAGCCCATGGCCTCCTATTGGTTAAGGTGACTGGATCCCACATGGCCAACTGCATGGTTTGAGCCCTGGGCCCAGCAACTTGAAAAACACCTGCTGGATTTACAAAATATTTAACTATGAGAACGTAGTATTTATATAAGGAATTAAGTAAGGGAACCATTCCGTGGCATAGTGGTAAAATGTGATGCTCTGCAAGGCTGACACACATGGGAAAGCTCTGGGTTCATGTCCAGAAACCTTCCTGCATGTGCTGGGCACATGTGTCCATGGTCTGGGGCTGGCTAAAGCTGGAGATGGAGCAAGACCCTGTTGGGAGTGCTGTCTTGTTTCTTTGTCTATCTCTCTTGCTCACAGAAAATATAAATATATATATACGCCGCAATCTTCTCCTCTGGGATCTTGGGCACACACACACACGTGCCCGGCATGAGTTTTAAGCCACCAGGTCCGGAACACAAACCACGGTAGACTACATGGGAGTCCAGCAACATAGTCATTATGCTAACTGCTGGTCCCGATAAATAATTATTTTTTAAAAGAATTAAATAAGAATATAAACATAAAACACTACATGCATTACGAAAACAGGCAGATACTTGTATCCCAAAGACACACAAATACAAAGATACAGAATAAACACAATGATGGGTGCCTATAGTGTAGGAGAGGAATAGGAGTGAGGAATTCAGATTTAAAAGGAACAAATGAATAAATAAAAACAGGAGAAGGGGCCTGACCAAACTGGTGATGAGAATGTGCCACAAACTGGGGTCTGAAAAGAAAAGCAAATAATTAAGTCTTAAAGGAGAGGTATTCCAATTTCTCCAGGAATATTTGGGAGATAAAACCATTTTCTGATAGTTTACTGATCTTTAATTTCCTGGACTATCAGGGCAGTTTGAACAATGGCACATTGGCCATACTTGAATAAAACAGAAAATTGTCTGTTCAGTATGTTTCTAATCCAATTCACTCAACATTAAAAGGAGAACATGAAATTATATTCTCTTAATTGAATATAGAATTAAAGAATAAATGAATAGAAATGGGGAAATATGAATAAGTTATGAAGGAATTATGGAAATTATTAAAGGAATTATGGTTGAGCAAGGGAGTATAATTGTTAGGAAGGCAATAGGAAACTAACCTGTCCTTTATCCATGTCACTATTTGCATTTTCTGAGTCCATTGTCTCTGTCCTTTTCCTCTTTCCTTTTCTAAAAGCTTGAATATTGGTAATTTCATCTGTCTCCAAGATCTTCTGCATTTTCTCAATTAGTTATCAAAGATCTTCTGAAATTGTAGAAGGGAATGCCCATGTAGATGATGCTATTTTGGATGTAGCCCTAAAGTTAATGTTTTTCCTTAAAAATAAACACAAAAAAGAATAGAGAATATATTTACAACCGTATGTTTCATAGTGGTACTAGCCAGTTAGGTAAACACAACTTTTACTAAATTCTCCCTTTAGTTCTTTTTTCTAATAACCGATTTAATACACATTTATATTTGATGCAAAAGTCTTTCAATTTCATAGGACCAGCAGGTGGGGTGACAATTAAGGGCACTGGACTCTCACATGGCGCACTGTGGTTAGAGTTCCAGACCAGGCAGCTTGCTTTCTCACTTTCCCTTTCTCTCTCTATCTCTCTGGTCAAATTAAATGATGATAATAACAAACAAAATTAATTAAATAAATAGTTTTTAAAAATCTTTGGATTTCATCATCCTGAGGAGGATGTCCATGTTTTCAAGGATGTCATACGCAGTTGTCATCACAAAATCAAAGAGTGTAAAATTCCTATATTTAAGTTTTTTATTTTACTGTTAGTTATGAGGAATCTAAAAAAAAGTAAAAATATAATACATTTATACAAATAGTATCTTAGAGAATTGAAGTTACGTTATCTTTAGGAGGAAGACATTAATAATAGCAGATTTCACTAGGACCAAAGGCCAAAATATTCCAAGGACAGCAATAAGATTTTTTTATTTTAGTTTTTTTTTTCCTTATCCTTGAGGTCTTGAGATGGGAAGACTTCTCTTGATGAAAACTGAAAAACTATACCATAAAGTCTAGGGGAAAATATCTCAAAGGCAACAGCATACTTCATAGAAATGATAAGGGATAATCAATTCCCAAAATGTGAATTAGTTCTTAGATAGACTAGGGTTGAAATGATGAAATTTCACTTTTTCTATGTACAGATGATGCACCATTAGGTCTTAGCATCCTTATTATTTGCATATATTGTTTTCATAAAAATATTTAATTATACATAAAAGAAGTAACTGTAGTAGGGATTGAGCTTAGAGGTCTTCAAAGAATGTGTAGACTATTGAGGTAACATATTCTCCTGACCAAATTACACTCTAATTATTTTGGAAAACATGGTTCATTTGCCTACTTTAAGCAAAAGTCATTACACTCCTAGCATAAAATTGTATCTTGATGTTCTTGATGAAGTTGCTTGATGAGAACTTCGAAAACTTACTTGAGGCTTTAAAATGCGTAACTAGGTTTGAGATAACATATGTGATTGTCTAATTTGAATAAAAAATATCAGAGACCATATCAAACTTCACTAAAAAATTTTTTTTTTTGGAGAGGTTTTTTATATAGGGCGCATGCACTCGCCAGAAAGACAGAGAGAGACAGAGAGATAGAAAGCGAGAAATCACCCCCCAGGGGGGATGGCCACCCTGCAATCCCTTCTCCTCCATTCTCCTCTCAGGATCTTGGACACGCACACACATGTGCCCGGCGTGAGTTTAAGCCACCAGGTCCGGGACACGAACCGCGGTCGACTACGTGGGAGTCCAGCGACATAGCCATTACGCTAACTGCTGGTCCCTTCACTAAAATTTTTGAAGAAATACGCAATCTAGAAGCACAGGCAAAAGGAGAGGTCTAGGGCATCCTGCTGGCTTCCCAGGTCCTTGCTTCTAACATCGTATCTGTAACCTGTGGTCCAGGATAAGAGGTGAAACTTGTAAATTAGGTTTGAGGGTCATTAAACAAAATGGGGAGGGTTTAAATTGTGATGCATCAGGGTCAACAGATGGTGTAGTGGTTATGTTGCTGGACTCCCAAATGGCTGATTGTGGCTTGAAACTCACACCAGGTGCGTATGCATGTGTGCCCCGGATCCCAGGAGGAGATTGGAGGAGAAAGGATTGAGGCATGGCCATCCCCCTGTGGGAGGGGAGGTGATTTCTCACTATCTCTGTCTCTCTCTCTCAAGTGAGCGCACACACCCTGTGGCAAAAACCTCTAAAAAGAAAAAAAGAAAAAAAATTGTGATACATCTTCATTTTGCATTTCAGAGTTGTAGCTTGTACAATGTTCTCTAAGGATTTATAAATTCATAGGTTCTATGTATGCCATAAGCAATCCCAAACTAAGGATTGTTAAGAGCATTTTATAGATACATATTCTTTTTCTACAATAGTAAATATCAGTAGTCTATTTGCTAGAGCAAGAGCAATACAGTTTTTTGAAAAAGGGCTGGATAGTAGTATCTTAAGCATTGCAAGCCAAGAGGACAAATAAAGCATTATTATATAGACAATTACATAAAGAAAACACATTTTCACAAATTGTATTTTATTTAATTATTCTTTTTTTAGGTTTTCCCCATAGGACTTGTGCACTCAATGGAGAGAGAAAGAAACAGTAAGAGAGAAAGTGAGAAATCACCCCTCAGGGTGGATGGCCATGCTGTAATCCCTTCTCCACTCTCTTCTCAGAATTTTGGGCATACATGCATGTGCCTGGCATGATTTTCAAGCCACCAGGTCCGGAACTCGAACCAGGGTCGGCCATGTGGGAACTCAGCACCTTAACCACCATCCCACCTGCTGGCCTCCTCAGAATCTTTATTCAAAATATAATAATTGAACACTATGCAACTTCTTGAAAGGACAGATCTACTAATGAAAACAGTGGATAAACCAAATCTGTTCAGGCCAGCAGCCAGTAGGTGATGTGGAGGTTAAGGCATCTGGATCCCACCATGGCCAATGGCATGGTTTGAGTCTTGGACTAGGCAGTTTGAAAAACATGCTGGGTGCATGTATGTGTGTGCCCAAAATCTCAAAAGGAGAATGGAGATGAGATTGTGACATGGCTGTCCACCCTGGGCAGTGATTTCTCTCTCTCTCTCTCTCTCTCTCTCTCCCCTCCTGCAGTGAGTACACGCATGTTATAGCAAGACTAAAACAAACAAACAAGCAAAAAGCTTGCTTAATTTGAGTTCAAAGTTAGCATTCTATATCACTAAATTCCAAGTGCTCATTGGTTAATGCTTAGCTGTATTAGAGTTTACAATATTTCCTCTTTGAAAATATCTTTCATACTGACTGGTACTGGCATACACTAATACTACAGTAATCCATAAGTTTATAACTTTTAACCAAGATAAAATTCACAGAATGTAAAATTCACCATTTAAACTATTTAAAGTATGTACTCAATATTTTTAATATATTTGCAATATTGTGCAACCATTACCAAGAAACTCCATTCCTCCAAATGTAAGTTCATAATATAAACATATTCAGCTCTTTGAAGATTTTTGATACAATTCTATTAATTTTTTCTCTTTGCTATTTGCCTTTTTTGCATGACATTACACTGCAGATTAATTACTTCCAGTTAGAAGTTAAGTGAGAGCTCCTCAATTACGTGGTAAAATGGATTTTGAAATACGGCAATTTTCTTTGTATTTGCATTGTGATCTGAAAAACAATGTTGAAACCATAATTTGAACTTCAAAAATACATCCAGTGCTAATCTGAGTTTGGAGCTGAGGCTATTGTTTCTTTTTTTTTTAACTTTTGGCAATGCAGGAAAAGGCATAGAAGCAGGGGAGCATTGTAACTAATAAAAGCAAACAAAGTTAACAGGAATATACATTCTCGATGCATGTACATTTAAAAAAATAATTAATTTTATTTATTCATTCATTTATTATTTTTAATTTGACCAGAGAGAAAGAGAAACAGAAAGTGAGAAAGGAAGCCACCAGGTCTGGGACTCAAACCGTGGTCAGCCATGTGGGAGTGTCCAGCGTCTCAACCACCACGCCACCTGCTGATCCTTATATGCATGTACATTTACCATTTTTTTTTTTTTTTTTTTTTTTTAGGTTTTTGCCATAAGGCACTTGTACTTGCCATAGAGACAGAAAAAGACAGAGAGAGAAGGAAAGTGAGAAATCACTCCCCAGGGGAACGACCATGCCATCACTCCTTCTCCTCCACTCTCCTTTTGGGATTTTGGGCACACACACACACACACACACAAGTGCCTGGCATGATTTTCAAGCTGCTAGGTCTGGGACTTGAACTGTTGTCGTCCATGTTGGAACCCACCACCTGCTGGCCCCTGTTTATCTTAACAAATTAAGGACATAATGCAGGAATTAAAATTCTACCTCTAAAGTCCTAAGAAATACTAAATTTTAGGAAACTAAATGAGTACCAAAATATAATTCAGGTGTTTCATCTGCTTTTGTATTGAAATATAAAATATCTATTATAAATTAAATAAAATTATGAAAAACAAGTACAGCACTATAATAAACCCAAGTACCCTTTCATAGCTTTCAAAAATTTTAGATTAACTTTCTACATGTCTCAATTTTGGAATGTACAGACATAAAAAAATCTCTTGTGGTATTCAGATCAGGAAACGAATTGCATCTTCCCTCTAAATGAATCTCAAAGTGCCAGGATTCGAACTGTGGTGGGTCATGTGGGATAGGCTTACCTTAACCACTAGGCCACAGGGCTGTCCCCCAAATGTAAGGAAAGTAGTGTCAATATATTTCTTAATACCCACTGGCTGCCTTAATGTTGTCTGTGAAACAGACTGCTAGTTTAGCCCAACCTCTTAGAAAGGTGGAGCATGAGAGAGGAAGATATTCACATTGGTTTTATGTATGTATGTATGTATGTATGTATGTATGTTTGGAGAGGTTTTTGCTATAGGGCACATGTGCTCAACAGAAAGAGAGACAGAGAGACAGAACGCGAGAAATCACCCCCCAAGGGGGATGGCCACGCCACAATCCCTTCTCCTCCATTCTTCTCTTGGGATTTTGGGCACCATGCACACATGCCTGGCATGAGTTTAAGCCACTGGGTCTGGGACTCAAACCATAGTCAACTACATGCAAGTCCAGCCACTTAGCCATTACACCATCTGCGGGTCCCATTCACATTGTTTTGTTTTGTTTTAAAGATTATATACACATAAAAGAAGAAGCAAAATCCCAGATTGGAGTGGCTGTAAATGATTGGGTGCTTTCTGAGCACACCAGCATACTCCAATGGCATTGATGGCTTTCTCATCAAGTTG